AAGTTTTCCTTCTTTTTTTTTTTTCATGACTATTGTTAGTACTGCCGAAATTTCTGTTGATTTCTATAAAATGAGGTTTGGGACAAAAAAAAAAAATAAATAAATAAAATAAAATAAAAACTGCTACTATGTCAAGCTAATTCAGAAATTTGATACAAAGTTATTTATACTCAGATATATCAGAACCTTTTAGCTGACTAACATATGTATAGGTAATCCTCCATGTAAATGAGTCACAAGATAAGCAATCTTCTGTAATATGAAGAAGAAGAAGAAAGTGATAAAGAAGTAATGATTCAGGAAAAATTATTTAATTTTCAAAAAGGAAAATTGAAAGTAGGTTTTAAACATAAATAAGGTAGTTTATCTAACAAATTAATTTATCCAACTTCTGAACCGAATTCAGAGGTTGGACGTTCCTTGATCAAAGAGTCTTTACCACCTCTTAGTATGATCGAGGTATTTGAAAATAAAATATAATTACACGAAACTGTGAACTGTTAAAAAATAATATTAAATATTTTAAGAAGATTATTCTTAATTCATTGTAAACATTTCCGTCGTAATTTAAAAAAAATATATTAGCATGCTCCTCCTGTCATTGTGTGCAACTCGGTCGGGCCTATCTTTTACTAATTTGAAATGGTTTCGCTATCACCTGAGCTGAGAGCTTCCACCGATCTAACTAGTGTTTCGGTGTTATTTCTATTGATAACTCAAATTACGCTGTGCCGAATTAAAAATTTGGGGTCATTTTATTGTTGTAATTGATACATTTATCAGAAGGAATCGTTTTAAATCTGGCATCCTGATTCCTTACAATAGTTGTATCAACTAAAAATAAAATGATACAAAGTGACCGTACAGTGTAAATTGAGTTATCAATAAAAATAAATCCGAACTACTAGTTATATTTCTGATAGCTACTGTTTCGAAATAATTTCAAATAAGTCAAAGTTGTTTTTCATGGAAACGTCATGAAGCTAGTAATGTATGTTGGTTTATGTACAAATGATCTTTAAAAATATTAAATAAAGATAACGTTGCTTTATAGGACATCAAATAATTTATTGGAGCAACTATTTACAGAACATTAAATCTCGTTTCAAGGAGTCACAATTACATATTCACAATTTTCCAGCTACAATAACATGGACTGAAGACATACGAAACTTAAAAAGAAATTAGGTAGAATACATGTTCAACTCAACTAACTGATGAATTCGTACTTGCCTGATTTACAGTAAATGGTAAACAGTTCGGTTAAGTGAAAATTAATGAATACAATGAAATCCACTATCTACTCAAGAAACTTCGAAAGTTTCAATATCTATTGTTTATTTTTATTATATGGACAATGAATCATTGTGATTAGTCATAATGTCTGACGCTTATTATGTAAATTTCTTTTAAGAAGTAAAGTTAAACGTGGGATCGGGATTTGCTATTTTAAAACCAATACTGCTTCGGCCGCACATGTTGTGAAAGATCTTTAACGGCCTTAGAATAATTAAGAACAAGCCACTAATTTTAATTTCAAACTTCTCCTTCTTAAGCCGTTCATTTGAAATCTGACTACTATAAATATATTTTATAAAAAGTGTCCTAAGAAATTAAATAAATGCATATTTTTTTTTCACTATAATCGAGTTGTGTCTCATTGGCTAATAAACTAACTATCGAAAATATTCAGATTGCATTGTAAAACTTGTAATAAGAAATATTAATATTTAAAGTATAAAAATATCGACTAAAAAGATTGGAATAATACTTAGCTCACATAAATGTAAACCTATAATCATTGATATTTTTTTATACTTCATCAGTTAAAAAGGAATAAAGCAAGTGTAAGGACGAGTGTACTCTACGTAAAAATTTCAAATCCCACCTTCATGCATAATTTGAATTCTTGGAAAAATTATAACTTCATAAACGTCAGATTGAATTAAGAATTAGAAAGAGTTGTCAAGCCAACCAAAAGTAAACAACCGCTCTCGAAGCTTTTGAAAGTTTCTTGAATAAATAGTAGGTCATTGCCATCAAGTCGAAAATTAAGTTATTTATATACATAAAATTATTCCTTGTATGACCTTTTAAATTGTTTTTCTTTACTATGCCTGTCTTGTTTATTCGGACGCGGTGTTGATGTAATAGCGTCAAATCAGACACAGGCACGGGTGGTGAATTCGACGTAACTTTTTTTTAGTTATTATGCAGATGGATTCGAGATCCAATTGTTTTGTTTATTTTTAAGAAGATTAAGTCTGTGTTATGATGGAATTTGGTAAAAACGTAGATCAGTGTAACGAACGTATGTACGTTCATCTTCAAGTAGTTTTAAAACATCTTAATTATCAATATACTATTTTACTTTATATTGATATTTTTGAATACGTACCAATCATATTTATCTTAAAATTACTTTAAATTTCATCTTACTTACTTAACACTATTTTTTTATATTTTAAATTTTCACATCCCATGGAATTTAACAATGTATCAGAATTTTGTTTCAATTTATTATGTAATGTTTCTTCTGATGCTCATATCCGACGATTTTCAATTGATAATAATGTGGCAGCTAATGTACTACTTAATACCTATTTTAAAATAATTGATTTAAAAATACCAGTGGAATAACATGAATCAATGTTATTATCTTGAAAGCATGCTACTAGCCAGTAGTTTAACTACCTGCAGCAGTTGGAACAATTTGCACAAATTTGTTTTAATGTTTTCAAAAATTCATAATTATTATCATTTTAACACCATGAGACAGAAATACCCTAGTGCAGATTCAGCAGTTTACTGTAGCCGCAGAAACATAAATAAATTAAATGACATTACTTATACAGTGGATAAATAGTTGACTGTCATGAATATAATAAATAGGATTTGAATAGGGTGAGTCGTTACAAGTTAAAAAAATAAAGATACATTATATTTACTTTTATTTTTGCCGACGTTTTGGCCCAAAGTTCAGGCCTTCATCAGGGCTAAGAAAAGATATCTTCAGTCTTTTCTGATTTTTACTTTTTTATGATATTACATAAAGCAGTAACTAGTAACTTTATAAATTCCTTATTCTTGTGAAATATAAAATAATCTTCTCATTTCTTGCCGTCATTTTATAGGAACAGAGTCAAAATGACAATAAATTTGTCCCAATGGCAATAAAGTTTCACTTCAATAAATTTTATATTTTCACATTTTTTTTTTTAGAAGCTTCTATATTTAGAAAAGAAAATATTTTTTACATAAGTTTACATTTACTGAAATGTTTTGTTGTGAATTTGCTTCCATGAGTCTGAAATTGTCACAAAGATTACATTAATGTCCAATATGTACCAAATTAATAATAATTTTTCTCGAAAGTTTTATCCCCACTAACGATGCAAAATAACTTTAACACTCTTAGCTAAATACAAAAGCTTAATTTCAATAAATTAAGTTCATAAACAACTTTTTATAGCCCGAATGTGAAAAAAATGAAATGTGTTTTTTATTTCTAAAATGTTTCAAAATAATTTTATTCTGTTCAAAAGACATCAAAACAGTATAAAATACTTAAATACACATCCTAATTTTCTATTCATTTCGTCCTGATTTCCAGGTTGTAGCCTCATCAATAGGAATCAATAATGAAAATCTCGGAAAATGTCATAATTTAAGGGTCACACCTCGACCCTCCGAAAGTTTGGGTCCAATGTAAATTCAAACACATTTTCTCCTCATATTGAGGTATATCTTTGTAAAATTTCAACCGCCAAGACTTTATATTTCTGGAGATCCAGATATGACCATAAATTTAAAAATTTGCTTTTACAATTCAACTATTGCTGCTAGTTAAGATTAGTCCATATAGAATGCCAACTGATCTGACAAAGAAATTCTTCAGCATAACTGTACCTATACTAGGTTGGTCTTTGAAAAATAAACTTTCACTTTTTTCAAGTGAAGGCCAGTAAGTAGTATCAACCAGTTTCCATAAGCAATTATCAACAATCTTAAGGACTTCAAGAATATCACAGGATAATATAAATATGTCTTAAATAGAAAAATCACTAATATCACAAAGTTTAGGTCAAAACAGCTTTCTATTGAATTTATGTCAAGTGCGTGATAATAATGGAGATTTCTCCAAATAAGATTGATTATGTAATTTATTTGATCATAATGTTCAATTGCAAGCATTTCATCTAAATTCCTATACATCAAATGTTTTATCCTCTTTTATTATGTTTTATTCATCATGGGATGTTGTTAATTGAATATTGTAAATAAACTATTTAGTTAGCAGACATATTGGCCATTTTTAAACTAGAAAATTGCACATTCTTTTATTAAAATTAATTATAATTTTCTTATTCTTTAATTTTTACTTTTATTTTATACTTAAAATTAGTTTTGAAATTTTGTTAGTTTGTGACTTAAAATGATATAAATAATTTGTAATAATCATAAAGGCCAAACATAACTAAAACAATAATTCAAAACTCTATATCATTATTTTAATAATGTTTCTTTTTACAACCAGGTGAACAAAAATTAAGAAATGTCACTGCGTTGATTTATAACTGTTGTAATGTAATTTACATTATACTTTTATTAATACTTAAATGACCAATTTAATACATTTCAAATTAAATTATATGTTTAATGTTTATATTATGAGCTGAAGATCTAAAGACTATTATTCAACAATTTATGTTCCAAGAATCCGATAATAATGAATCAAATCTACAGTAAAATTTAAAAAAAAATGTGCAACCAAGATAATAAAAAAACATTTTTATGTGTAATGTTAAATTACAATAATTGTACATAAAAAATGAAATATGTGACATTTCATTCAAACTTCTAGCGGGTAATTTGTATAACATGCATATTGCTTCTTAGATGACTGATTCTCTGCTTAGGACTGAGTTTATTTATTTATTTATCTTTCTTATCTTAAGTAATTTTATAATTTTAATTAAACTTTGCCTTTTCTTTTTCAGTGTCCTTTTACCTTTGTGAATTCAATAAATCGTACCAGTTTAGAAAGACTTTCAACAAAATATGGGTTATCATGGAGGGTTTACAGGGCTGGAGAAAATATTTCAGACACATATCCTGATCCAGAATCATTAATCTGTGAAGTACGCCCGAAGAATTTGGGTGAATTCGGTGTTTATCATTTGAACGTCAAAAATGAAACATGTGATATTTTTACTATATCAGAGCCTGTAAATATATATAAACGTAAGTATTAAGTTGAATTTATAGATTGTATATATTAATATAGTATATATTAAGTTACATTTCAGGTTCTTATAAATAAAATAAAATTCTTTATTTCTCCTACAATTTTTAATTTCATGATAAAATGAAAAGAAAACTCAGTTCAGATCTATTATTAACAAAGCCAAAAAAATAGAATAATTTGGTTAAAAAAAAAAAGTATTTCTTCATTTCATTGTACAATCTAATTCTTGATGTTTGACTGAGCACTAATATCATTTATTGAGATAGACTTAACCAAATTATATTTTCTAATGGTAAAATTTCCTGTACTGCAAATGTTGATAGGATAAACAATCCTTTAATGAGAGTAATATCATTTAAGGAAGTAGATAAAAATTGAAATAAATTTGCACATTCACTCATCAGCTCAAAAACATATTTATAAATGTGAATATAAATTAAATCATAATTTAGATTATTATTCATATATAAAATGTTTTCTCAGCACTTTTGATAATACTGGCGGCTCTGTTGTTCTTGTGTCTCATCTGGAATCTGATTAGTTTAATTATTTCAAAATGTAGAACACCAAAGGAATGGATGGGTGATGATGCCTCTATACCAGATCGTAAGAAGAAAGTAAGGATCAAAGCGATTGACACATTTAGGGGGTATGTTACAGAGTTTTTTAAATAATAAATAAATAAAATTATTATTAATTGATCATATTTCTATTAATCATAACTGATTTATTTTCAGAATATTTTAATAATCTCTTGGCTAATTGCTTCCTATACTGTATTTTTCCTTAGGAATCATATGAAACATCTCACAGTCTATCCTATCAAATGAAACTTCAAAAGTTTATACCAAATTAGAAAGATATTTAATTACTGGCAGTTTCTATTCTACAGGCTATTTTGCTAATCAGGGTCCTCTCAATTCCATTATATATATATATATATATATATATATATATATATATATATGTTTAATCTTTTTTGTTCTATGGGGAGTGAGATACGTCATTGTGTAAGGCACTATGTTTTTATCCTGAGACCGGGCTTTAAGTCTGGCTGTGGCACGTAATTATTTATTCTCTTACATTAACCTTGGATCAATCCTGAGGTTGGAAGACCTACCTGGGCACACACAGCCTCTATTATAACTCATACCTTGAGTACCCTTAATTATAAGAAAACTCAACTCGCAGTTGACAGTGATTTCTGGGGCCTTCATTGTTAAGTTTTCAGCATAGCAATCTTGTATCTAGTGAAACTGGTTTGAATATGTTTTTGTAATATGCATAGTTTCTTCTTTGATTAACAGTGGGAAATCATTTTCTGTGAAGACTCAGAGACTGATTTCTCTCAGCAATTCAGCTCTCAATTGTTCAATCTGGTATGGTTGGAATTTATGAAAATGTTAAACATGATCTTGCCAAATATCTTCCTTGCACTACCATTGGTCTAGATAGAAACAGTACTTTCTTATAAAGTAATGAGCCCAAGACATTACTTCATGTAGTGGTACAGATTTTTTTATTCAATCAGTTTAAAATTTATACTGGTTGTAAAATAATCAGATATATATATATATATATATATACACACACAAACATATATATTAGAATGAAAAGTTTTGATGGCTTGGGCGAACAAAAAAAAAAAAAAAATAAGAAAGTAACTTAATAAATAGTATTTATAGCTAAAATGTTTTTAGTTTAATTTAAACCACTATATTTAATTGAAGTATATATATCTACTTTGGTATATATTTCTCTCCACATAATCCACACTAAATAAAAGTTGATTTGAGACTGTAATTATTAAGTGTGTTGGGACCCCATACCATTAAACTGTAGTCAAAAGTGGAGAGTGATTGATTTTCTTTCAATTTGTGAGAGTTTATTGTTATGTAATGTTAGACGCATATAATAAATATATGTAATAAACCTCTATGCTGAGGATGCATAAATTCCATGATTTTTTAGATAGCCTGTGCACTAGTTATAGTACATGAGGTTCTTGAATCAAATAAAAAAATAAAATAAACTTTGTTTCTTTTAATTAATTAATATCCTTTCATAAGCCTCTTTAATTTTTTATAATTTTTAAATTATTATATGTTTAAAAGAAGGTGACAATTTTTTTTATTTTCTAATAATTAGCTAATCATGCCACCTATTATTTCATAAAAAAAATTGATTCTGCTTATTTCATTTTTAAGATTTTTAAGTAACAGCTTCAATTATTGAATTTTTAATCACACTATGAATTGATAGTAATTTTGAATTGTAAAAGAATATTTCTAAGTTAGGAAATGTAATTATGTTTATGTAAGTTACAGAAATATCATCTAATGTATAGAAATATGATGCCTATTTGAAACTAAATCTCAAACTTTCTTACAGAATATGTATTGCTCTGATGATATTTGTAAATAGTGGGGCCGGTGGCTACACAATATTTGAGCATACCACTTGGAACGGACTTTACATAGCTGATACTCTGTTTCCATGGTAATTTTTTAGTATTTAAATAAATTAAGTCGCCTGATAGATATTCAATAAAGCATTTTTATGATTACTTGATTTTATAGGTTTATGTGGATCATGGGAGTATGCATTCCAATTTCTATAAATTCACAATTAAAGAAGAAGATTCCTAGAATTAAGATATTCCTCTCTATTCTAAGGGTATGATTTATTAAATTATAATATAAACTATATATTTGAAACAAAATTCAGAAATTTTTTTTTTCTTTTGTGATCCCTAAAAATAAATTATGTACTTTTAAAAATAATATCATTCTCATCTAGTTAAAAAAATAGGGTGTTATTTTTTACAATAAAATTATTGTTAAATTAATTAATTAAAAATGAGTTAATTAATTAAATTAAGGTTTGCCCCCGATAGTCATCTAGTGTAGTATAGGTTGATAGATATTATAAAGTTTCCATAATAAATTATTGAAATTGTCAAATAAATTTAAATTTAATATGAAAGTTTTTGTTTTATTTATTTTGTATTCTATCTTTACTATATTTTACTATAAAATTATTAATTTCAGAGATCAATTTTATTGTTTTTAATTGGCTTATCGCTGAACACAGTTGTGGCAGGTCCAGACTTAGAACATATCAGGATTTTTGGTGTTCTTCAAAGATTCGGTGTTGTATATTTAGTTGTTGCATCTCTTGTCACCTTTTTTATGATAAACATATCTTTAGGGAAAGTAAGTAATTAGTATTTTTGTTTTCATGAGGATAAAGTTTTTTTTTTTATTCAAAGAATTTTTGTTTTATTTTTGAAGGATGAACTGTTCCACGTGTTAAAAGATATTTTAAACCTGGCTTTTATTTGGGTTTCCATGGTATTCATAGTAGCGCTTCATGTATATTTGATGTTCTTCTATCCATTTTCTGGTTGTCCAGCGTAAGTGATGATTCTTGATATATTTCATCTAATTTATATTTTAAAAGGAATATTTAAAAAAATATATTTGAAACAGATGTCTCTGATGATACTCCATAAACTATATACATAGAAACTATAAACAGTTTATTGCAAAAAGTCATTGAATGGCATTTTTTCATAATCTTAAATCCTTAAGAACTTGCAAAAATTTTCTCTTAGTAAAATTCAAAAATTGTGTGCTTATTGTAACTATACTTGATACATAAACACAAATGTTAATTTGAGCGTTTTTTATTTAATAAAAAAGATTGAAATTCACAAAAATATTCTTACAGTTCAGCTTCATCAAACATGTACTTAATGACTTTTTACAATGAACCACTGATATATTTCTTAAATCTTTTAATGGTAGCAAATAGAAGGCACCTTATCTTCACTCAGCTATGGCCTCAGGTATTACTCTGGTCCAAGATGTAATCCGAATCTTCAAATATAACTTTCATTTAATAAATCAACTGCTCACAAAATGCAGTTTGTATTTCAGATATTATGTATTGTTCGTTTGTTAGTTTGTGTGACTGTGTATGGCAGCTGATCAGAGAATTATGCTTACTACCATAGTTGCTTGAATTTAAATAATATTATTAAGAAGTAATGATTATTTTTATAATTATACGTATTTCTCAAACATTTTCAGTGGTTATGTTGGTCCTGGAGGTGTTCAGTACAACAGTAAATTTGAAAAATGTACTGGAGGTTTTGCAGGATATATTGACAAAATAATCTTGTTCGGTGAGGATCATCTTTATCAGAGGCTCGGTATAATGGAGGTATACAAAACAGGGCCATTTGATCCTGAAGGACCTTTTGGTAAATTATTATAATTTTAAGTATTTGTTTTATTTTTTTCTTGTAAATGTCTTTCTTAATTTACTCATTAAAAAAAGAAAGATAATTAAATCATTTACTAAAATTAAAACAATTTCTCCCTGAGATTACTTCTTAAATTTATCTAAAATTCAAGGCTGATAAGGTTGTGAACTATTATATTTGTTGGATCTAATAATTATAAATTTTGGCATTAACAAAAATTTAATTAATGGAAAAAAAATCTTCATTGGTTAATATGTGGGGTAGCGGGTAGCTCTGTGGGTATGGCACTGTGCTCTTATTTTTCCAATCACACCCAGCCTCTATAAAGTGGGTTCTCTTAATTGATTTATTCATTGAGGGGGAAAAGCTGGCAATTGAGAGTGATCTGAATTAGATCATCTCCTTCCAGAACTGTTGACTAAGAAAAAGATACACAATTCCTTACACAGTAGAGAACCCACGAAAAAAAATATATATATATATGTATATTTCTTTACAGTTCTTTCATTGCATGGCATGCTTTTTCTAAACTTGAAATTTCAAATTCTTGATTGACATTATTGTGGCTCTTTAATGCCACAGTATAATTCTTGAAAAAACTGAAGCCTGGCTGCAGGAGTGCTCATTCTCCCCAAGGTCAATAGCTGACCTCTTTCTTCCCAAGATATGTAATTGCTCATCTCTTCTTAAAAACAGTGCAAGCGATAGCAGAATTAGAAAAATTGTATATTATATACTATTAGACTTACTGCAGTCTGTTTTCCTTGTCTTTTTTATTATAACTTTTCATTCTGAAAATTCACAATCCTTTCAAAATATACTCCCCTCAAAAATTTTGATGGCGCAACTTGCTATCAAACCTCCTTCTGGGGACCCCTAACCGGTTTTTAAATTATGGATTTAAAAAAATAAATCATTGTGATATATTCAGTTTTTAGTAAATAATTATAATCAGTTGGTGATAAGTCTGCTGAACATAGATAAAGTGAAAGAACTTCTAATTCTATGTTTTGGAGGTTTTTATAGTCAGTTTGAACAAGCGCAGATGAGCATTATTGTGAAGAAATATTTAACCATTTAACGACTAACATATTTATCTTGTTTTCATTCAACGAAATATGATGAAATAGTGTGTTAATATTTGATTTGTACCTAACTCACTGAACTATTAAAGTTCATATAGCCTAAGTAATTTTGGAAGGTTCCTAAAAGTTTAATTACTTGTTTTTTGTTCAGGATGCTTGATCTCAGTGTTTCATGCCTTCCTCGGAGTGCAGGCAGGTGCTATCGTAATCAATTACTCTGATTGGAAAGCAAGGGCGAAAAGGTGGCTAATCTGGGGCGTAGTGACAGGCATTGCAGCATTGGTCCTTTGTCAGGGTCGGACGGAAGGTGGCTGGATACCTATCAACAAAAGTTTATGGTAAAATTAGTTCATTCAAAATGATAAAAGTTTTAATTTTAAAAATGAGTCATGTAGTGTTAATGATTCAAAAATCCCATTTCAGTATTCTGTACAGTGAATAATGAATGACTTATGATCAGAAAATTGTGTCTAATTCATCACATGAATACTTTAAACTCTTTCCTAATCAGAGTACTAAAAAACTACAATTGGATTCTTAAAAATCTCATTTACACAAATCTCATATCATGAATGTATAATATCCTTCTTTTTCCCATATCCCTAATTGAATGATTACTTTTTTGTAGATTAGTTATCCTGTCTAACAAAGATCATGCATAGAACATTTAGAATATTACTTTTCTCCTTGTTCCATATATACTGCTGAGATTAATGCTATCACGATGGCTCTACGACATGTGATAAATTCTCCAGTTGTAAATGTGGTTATGGTATCAGATTCTTTGAGTGCCCTTAAAGCCATGAACAACATGTATCCAGACCACCTAAGAATATGTACTATTTTGGTGCTCATAAAACAGCTAAGTAACATTGGAACGTTAGTACATTTTTTATGGTCCCCTGGTCATGTTAGTGGGAATGAAACGGCTGACAGAGCAGCAAAAGGTGCTCTTACCCTTCCAGGACGTGGTAAAGCCTTCTTAAATCCGAAGTGACGCTTCTCCTGATAGAGGCCATACACCAAGATTGGCAGATACTACGGGACAACAGCCCTCCAAATAAATTAAAGGTAGTCAAAAAGGAAGTGAAGCTATGGACCAGTTCCAGTCACAGTAAACTCAGAGAGGAAGTTGTCCTTACGCGACTAAGAGTAGTTCATAGCTGGCTTACGCACCTTCACTTAATTATGAAAGAAAATCCGTCCATTTGTCAGAAGTGTGGAGAGAGAATGACAGTGGTCCATATGGTCGAGGGTTGTGCATTTTACATCAGAGAATTAAACATAAGAGGAATACTAGCAAATACACTGGCTGCTTTGGGAAATGATGAAAAAATCTTAAGCAAAATCATATGTTTTCTCTCTGAAGAAGGAATCTTAAATAATCTCTGAATCTCTCACACAACACTCCCACCTCTTTTTCCCCTCCACCTTTTACCTTTTTTCTTTTTCTTCCTCTTTTTTTTCTTTTCTCTCTTTTACCTAATGTGCTTACATTCAATCATTTAATTTCAATAACCGTAAACAACCTTAACCTTAACATGCATTTTACATTTTTTAAATTTTATCCAATTTTTGATATTCACAAACAAAAGATATAATATATAATTTTAATTAACGGTGTTGATGACCAACTAAACAACAAACAACCAATTACTTTTCTCCTTGTTTATTTGCAGATTTCTGATTCTTCCTACTCTATACATTTAAGCCCTGATCTCAAGTTACTACAATGCTAAGTACTTTTAATTTAAATTTCCTATTTCTGCCTTTCAGGCACCTGCCACAAAACAAGCCTCAAAACTGTATATTACAACATTTTTTTTATTTTGAAATTTTTTTAAACTTTGCAAATTTCAACAATAAGCAAACATAATAATCCCTACTGAACATTACATACTAAGTTTCTGAAAAACTTCTTTTACAATATGTAATCCTAGCTTAGTCACAAAGAATGTCTCTTGTTTTATGTAATTCATAATTTTATGATTTGTTTATTCATATTAATTTTCAATAAATTAAGAAAACTTCACTTTTTTATCATTAAATATTTTCTGTACTACAGGTCCTTGTCATATGTGCTTGCGACAACTTCTTTGGGTTTTTTCGTACTGACCATTATTTATGTTATTGTTGATGTTAACGGACTGTGGTCTGGAATTCCTTTCTACTATCCAGGTATATATTGTTTCCTTTAATGATGTTTTTAATTTACTCTAATTTATGTCTTCAAATTTTACTTGATATTTATTTATTTATAACATAATAGATTATGTTTATTATTTTAAAAAATTAATTTTCATTGCCAAGCCAAATTATTATTTGTAGTTTTAATCAGAATGGCCTAAGTTGATGACTGGGATTCATACATTTTAAAAAGAGGTGGTAGAAGGAGAGCCATCTAGATTTTACTGTCCCAAGGCTCTGTTTACTTAGTTCCGCTATTGATAATTAAAATTAAAGCGGATTTTTGTTATATAAATTCTAATTTTATCAGCGGTAACAATTCATAAGTTTCATTTGTACCTAAATATTTTTTATATTATTATTCAACTTATACTTAGTTTGCATTAAATAATCATTTGTAAATTATATTGACTATTTTTTTTTCTAAGATTTACAGTTTCTATTTTGCATTATTATGCTCCCCAATTCAGTTGACATTTGTTTTCATTTCAAAAGATATTTAAAGAAATATATTTTGGTGTTTGATAATGTATTTGATTGAATCAATGTATTAAAAAAAAAAATCAGAGTTTTTACAAAAATATCTGATTAAATGAAAATTTTTAAAAGTTATTGATACTTTAAAAATTCTTCTGGCTTATGGGCCATCATTTATGGTCGTCATTCTATATATTAAACTTTATATTCATATTAACATATATTCATTTTCTATGTGTGATATCTACAGGAATGAATGCTATTCTTCTGTATGCTGGGCACAGCGTCGCTCATAATATGTTCCCATGGCATTGGTCATATGGGCCTATGAATACTCACCTGATGCTGACCGTAGAGGCTTTGTGGGGGATGCTGCTCTGGATACTCATATCTTATTGGCTTCATAAGCAGGAGTTTTATCTTGCTCTGTAATCAGTATTATTTTTATTTTCCAAGGCAACCTTATATATTTACCATTTGTTTTTACCAATCAAAAATTAAATTTCTTCTTTAAGTACCAAGATATAGTACCTGTTTTTAATATTATTATTTTAATGTGTTGTTTTGTTTTAATTTTAAAATATTCAAATCTGTAAAAAATAAATAAATTTGATATCATCTCTTTTTCAATCATCTTTATATTTATTACTGGCGTCTTCTTTGTTTAAGTTCACCATTCATTTTAGTTTTAGCATATGCCATATTTGTATACATGGAAGTAGGTGGAAAAAATAAACTATTTTCTTCTTCAATAATACATTACAATTTTTACAACAAATGAATTTTGTAAGAAAATAATGAAATTATCATCAAACTTAATAAAAATATGAGTTTTGGATGAGTTTGAAGTTCAAATCTTATAATAATGACTATAGGATCTCACAAATTTTAATTGGATTTATTGGAAAAATAGAAATTTTGAAAGGTAATGAAACATTATATTTTGTTGAATCTGTTAAGTTTTCTATAATAACAAAACTAGTAGGCCCGTGCGGAAAATTCGCACAGCATATTGTCAAATGATCAAATGCAAATTGAAAAGAAAAGAAAATAATGCAATGTATCATAAGATAAAGAAATCAATTGTTACTTTATTGATAAATATAATTGACACGGGAAACAAAAATTAATTTAAAGCATCATTAATGTTTGGAACCAAACATGTTTACAAATTTCAATAAGCTGTATCTTTGCTAAAAATGGTCGGATTTTGATGATTTTTTTTTTTCCTTTTGTAGGAAATTTAATTATCTTTTATATAATCATGGGCATAACACGGGAAAAAGTGTGTATTTTTTTAGTTATTTGCAAATAAAGTTTCTTTTCTTTCATAACTTGTTTACCAGAATTTTCGGGGTGAAGGACTATTTTACCCTCCTGAAGGAGAAGAAAGCTTTCAAAATTGGTGGCTCAATCTTGGGATTTGGTGAAGACACCAGAAAACACCATCAATAAATAATATAAACTCTTTCTCTCTGGATCATAGAGGCCTCAAGTCGACAAAATGAGATATGTATTAAATGACAGCACTACAATTAACATAAGGTTGTGAGGATTCAAACCTTATGCCTTGCGTTATTTTACAGTTCTGAAGGAACTATCTGGGTCTTGCTGTACACATCTTCAAAGCTCAATTTGTTCCGTATCGATCTACAGATTTACCAATGTACCATTATTGAAGACTAGCGAAATGTTTGTATCGACTTTATTTATTTTAACAAGAAAAACCAAAGTGGAGAATACAATTCGCTAACTCCCCGTGAAATTCTGAATCCAACGGTACCCCATTCATGGTATTTGAGCATGATAGGAGCTTATATGTGGTACAAAACTGATTTGAAGCCTTACTGTAATAATATATGTGAGGATTAACATAATTATGAATGAGACTGTATTTCATTTCATTTTAAATGTTTCCTCATTGGATTTTTGAAAAAAAACATTTGAACTTACAATTCAGATAAAACACTTATAAGATGTCTCATGGGTAAAAAGATGAATATTGTTAATTTCTAAAGTTAAATGTTGTTTACCAATAATTGTTTAGCATTAATGCAATATTACAGTCTGTGATCATCTTTTTTTAATATTTTTATTTTTTATTTTTTATTTACTAAGAAATGTAACATTATCACTTAGTGACAATGTTACATTTCTTGTGATTCCCAGATAAAATTTAACATCTTACTGAGCGGACTATGCCAAATATTGAGATTTGAAGGAAGGATTTTTGGATAATTATCTGTTTTAAAATATTATAATGAACTTTAAATAAATAATTTGAGTTGAAATCATTTTATTAAGGACTATAAAGTAAAATCCACTTTAAAGTAACATGGTATCCATTTTTTAATTTTTTCCTTTAGTGAAGGATGGATTAGAAATAAAACAGGACACGAATATCAAATAGCAAATATGTAATTTCACTGATAATCTATTAATTCAATAAAAAAAAAAATCATAATTTCTGATGTTTTCTCTATTAAGAATACAAGAAACAATTTATTTTTAATGATTAATTTATAGTTAAATGAACAATACAAATTTTTATTCTTTATTGTAAGTTCACAGTAAAATTTACTTAAAGCAAAACATTATAAATATATGTAATACAATTGAGCAAACTTTTATATACCCATGGTCAAGACTCATAGATTATGTATAGGTAACACGGCTCAAGGTAAAATGTATTGTTTATTGTGCTAACAAAATTAAAATTACCAACAAACAAAAATAAATAATTCTAAAAAACTAAAATATTAATATGTACAAGATAATTAATTTTAACAAATTATTAAAACAACATTTGATATAAAATTACAGTCTTTTGGTATTTACATTGAACTAGATAATTAAAAATGTTAACATATCTGTAAAAGTAACAGTTTAAAACCTTTTTGGGCGTATCCTGCTTCCATAAGGAACAGCATCTACAAAATGTACATTTTCATCATTTTTGAAATTTTTATCATCATTACCAATGGCTAATTCTTTTTCTATATTCTTCTCATCTGCATAGTCATTTTTAAAATCATTTGTACTTTTGTGACTATCTTTTACCATTTCTTCATTACTATCGTACGTGTTCTCATATATTTGTATTGATTTCTGTAATTGAACATTATTGTCAGGTTTGACTGGTGTGATTTTTTCAGAGTTTTTATTTTCATTATCTGGATTTCCTCGTTGAACAGAAGATGTCTCTGGATTTTGGTCTTGGGATAATACTTTTTCATTTTGGATATTATTAGGTATCATATTAGGACGATAAACATTGACATCAGATGTTATTTGTTTTTTGGGAAATTGGTCTTTTACATTTTCAACCATATTTTCTTTCTCCTTTCTAAAATATTCGCCTTTTTGTCTTTGTTGTACTTCATTTACAACTATATTTTCATAAGACTCTTCTCTCTCACTGCCAGCAACATCATTGTCATCCAATGGATCTTTATGATAATTATTGTCAGCCACACCAAAACCTTTATTTTTAAGATCAAGTCTCAAATCACCATAGGCACTCTGTTGACCCTGTTCTTCATAGTTGAATGATTGATATTGAGGTTGAGAAAATTGATGCTGGTTTGTGAGCTCATGCTGAGTAAGGTGTTGGTGTGCAAGCTGTTGGCTAGAGACCTCCTGTTGGACCAGATGTTGCTGAGCGAGATGTTGGTTCATGAGATCCTGTTGAGCAAGCTGTTGCTGAGCGTATTCCTGTTGTCCATTGGTGAAAAGGTGACCTGTTTGTTGTGGAAGCAAAAACTGTACCTGCTGCTGTAGAGTTGATGGTTGTTGATAATTGAGGAGGTTGAACAGTTCCTGAGGTGTTAGTGTATTGGAATTATCAGCTGGCTGTTGATAATGCCCATATTGGCCATTTTTCTCTGCCTGCTGTTGGAGGTAGAGGTCCAATGGAACTTGACCATTTGTTGGACGTGAGAAAGGATCGGTCGTTGGAGGGATCTTTAGAGAAGGCACTTCTGGATCAGGGTCTGGAGCAAAGTATGAAGTTGCAGTATTATATGGCGAGGAAGCTGCTGGGTCCTCAGTCACCTTTAAAAGACATACAAATAATTAAAATTTATATTTTATACTAAGCTCAAAACATAAAGCTTTAAGGAAATTTTAAAAACAAGTAATTTAAAATATTAAAACTGTATTACTGTAAACTACAAGAAAAAAAAGTCAACTATACTTCTTCATTACCATTACATAAATTATTATGATTATTAATTTTTCATTACTCACTTGGTAACCGGAAGAATGGGGAACATTTACTTTTGTAATGCCATGCCTTAATACTGCCGATAGATCTTCAAATTTGCTGTGTACTGGTTTCTTAATGACTTCATTTTTGTACAAATCATTTTTGAATGCCTCAGGCTGAAAGAGATTGGGAAGGCTAGGCCTGTCAACAGGTCCAAGGTTAGGAGCAGGGATAGTATGGATGGGCCCTTTATCTTCATCCTTCAAGAATGTTGTTGGAGCATAGAGATTATGCGGACTATTGAAGGACTCTTGAATGATGGGAGCCCTGAAAGAAGGAGCGTAGTTATTCTTCCAGGCAGGGTATGATGGTGGTGGTGGGGGTGGTGGAGGTGGCGGCTTGGGATACCTCTGATGATACAGCCTGTGATGTGGGGACCGGAACGGCGGGTAGGGTGGGTAGATGCGGGACGAGTGGTGTGGCGGATGGTGTGGTGGATGTGGTCCATAGTAGAGTGATGGTGGTGGAGGATGAGGTGGGTGGGGGGGCCGGATCTTGTAGTAGCCACAGTGGGCTCCTGCTGTCAGGTAGTAAAGTGCCAGCAGCACTGTCCACAATGATGTCTGAAACAGATGATTAAAACCATATTGTAAAATTAAAGTATAAGAGCTATTATAATAAAGAATAATTCAAATGTTATACACAACAAATAGAACAATTAATTATCCTTTAGGTCAACTCCTTGAAACAGAATAGAAACAACTTATGTCGTACATTAAATTTTTAGAGTTTTCCAGTAATATAATTTATTTTTTATCAAAACAATTCAGAAATAGTTTGTTTTAATTGCAATCCTACAAAACACATTCATATTAAATAACATTAATAAATTAGAATCCCTAGAACACAATTACGGTAAATAAATATGAAATCCTCAAAATTACCATAATCATGTTCTAGGGACTCCCTCTAGGATAGAAACCCTGTCTGCCTCTGATGATCTTCAATATGGTGCAATGAATCAATCAGCCTATTATTTTCAGAAAAAAATACTACTGATACACTTTGCAATATATATAATAAAAGGCTTAGGAGTGTGTGTAATAGCCAATACCCCTGGAAAAAACTTGTTCATAAGTGGGACATTATTGAGTGTAAATGTGAAACTTATTCATTTGGACACATTGATTACTTTAGAGACAAATACATTATTGCTTTCATTCTGTTCCTTAAAAAAATCTGCAAAAAATAAGACTAAACAAAATTTTATTTATCATTGTGTTAAAGATGTGAATTGATGGTTGACTGTAGTGAATAATTGAAGAGAAGATTATTTGGAATGTTAAGTAAAAAAAAAAAAATTAATGTTAAAATTAAAAATAAAATAATAATATGTAGGTAAAAGGTATAGTCTATAAACATTTAGATAGAATAAACTTAAAGGAAATATAGCCCTGATGAGTGCCTTAACATTGGGTTGAAACGTCGGAAAAAATAAAAATAATTTATATATATATTTTACTGAACACCCCAACCAATCCTCTCTTCCATTATGTTAAAGGTTGTTTTGTATGTATATAATATATAATACGAATAATAATATCACCTTAGTTTTTGTTATATTGGGTAGGCAAATAAGTCTTTTCGGTTTTTCTGTTTATTTTTATGCCACTATGATACACTTCTTATCTGATGAATTGATCCCTAAGGTGGATTGTTTATCCTGTTTTTAATATGTCAACAACTATATCTGTTAACTCTTGTTGAAACTAGCTTAGTATTGTCTTTGCCATTTCACTGTGATTATGAAAGAAAATATCATCAATAGCATATTTTGTTGTATTATTTTAAAAAAGGTAAGCTTTGCTGCAGGAGCTCATAGAAAAATTTGCAGTGTTTACCGGGAATGATGCCTTAATCGAATGCACCTGTCAAAATTGGTTTGCCAAATTTCATTCATGAAATTTTGACATTAATAATTTTCAACAGTCTGGTCGCCCACATGAAATTGAAACGAGCAATGATAAGGCCATTGTTGATCAAAATCTCACCCATTCAGTGCAAGAGATTGCAATAGCCCTAAATGTGTCGCACACAAGCATAGAAAACTATTTGCACAAACAAGCTCGGCTATGTTTCCAGGCTTAATGTTTGGGTCCCTCACATCATTTTTTTTTCAAAAATCACAAAAAATGTTATAACTTCAATACGACTTTAGCTATCTACAAGAAATTTAGCAGGAATTTAAGGCCACATAAATGACACAAAATGTCATCAACAAAACCTTCGTAAACAAACTAAAATTGAAGATAAAAAATAAAAATCTATGAGGAATTGTTGTTTAGTTATTGCTTATGTAAGCTTCATACGCAAGAGCAATTTGAAGAGCAATAATCAGTTTTTCAAAGGCTACAGTAACATGGGATTTGGAGAACATCCTGTTATGAATGATCGAAACGGTGTTGAGTTTCACCAAGACAACACTAGGCCTCACACCTCATTGGTCACTAAATAAATAAATTATTGAGCCTTGGATGGGACCTTTTGCCTCACTCTCCCTGTTCACCAGACTTAGCTCCAAATGACTAACACTTATTCCAGTCTCTGCAGGACTCCATGAATGGAAAGAAATTCCAAAAGGAAGAGGACATCAAAAACCACTTGGACCTGTTTTTTAACAATAAACTTCAGACATTCCATGAATATGGCATAATGCAGTTAGTCGAAAGATAGGGAAAAATCATATTAAATAATGGTCAATATATTGTAGATTAAAATAAATTTTATGTTTATAATACATTTAGTTTTACTTCAACCTAAAAAACCGAAAGGACTTATTTGCCAACCCAATACATGGAACGGATACGGGGAAATGTTCTTCTAATATAAATTTAATTTCCTACTCAAATCAAATAATATAATTTTAATTTATTTTGTAAATATAAAAGACTAATCAATTTTAAGTAATTAAACTAATTATCAGAAGTGTTGTCGTATGCAGGTAAACCTTTATATAATTATATAATTCAGTATCTTAACACAAATCGTTTATCAACATCCTTCGCTAATTAGTGGTGGAAAAGAGGCTTATACTTGGTGTAACAGACTAAACAAAAATAATTCAGTTAATTCGCTAGCGGATCCAGTATTTAATTTTGGGGGGTTCAGCCTGAAAGCCTTTTTTTTTTCATGTTTATATAACGATAATTGCTTTGAAAAAAAAAACCTTACTATCTACAATGAAATGGTGTTATAGTGATTCTTGAAGTCCTATTAAATGTAATTACATGAACATTAATACTTTAAGAGATAATTTTAAAATATTTTTTCGGACTTCAGCTCGAAGTTATAGGTGAAAAAACAAAAAAAAGGATGAAAAACTGACTTTGTTGGCTGAAATAAGTTTTTCCTTGGTTGCCCGCGTAACAATTTTGTTTTTTATGTCTAAACCTATATATACAAGTTAAAAAAATAAAAACTTTTTTCGCAAAGGATTTCCCGTTTCGATCCTCAAGTTACTGGCCTAATATTCTTTAAATAAATCGCCATTTTTGAAAGCAGCTGCTCAGGAATGGTAGGAATTGGCAGAAAAGGTTAATTTTACTTAAAATAATATACACTTCCGTAATTTACACACAAACCTAGCGATCAGATCGATATTTGGGCCATGGCTCCATGGCTATTTGTTCAATCCATTAGTCATCATAGACTACAGAATAACTATGATATTTATAAGCCAAATAACCCGGAATGATGAACTTTAAAATTGATTCATAAATGAGGCAGCAATCATTTTCGACTTGTATATTTTTCTTTTTTAATATTATATAAAACGTATCATATTAATTAAATATTCATATTTATTATTTCATTTAATATTTGAGAATGACGGCTAACAACCGACCGGCCGGCTACTCCCAACTTATGAAATAAACATCGTTGGAAAGTTCGAAGCTTTCACTTTCTGGAATATTCTAAAATTGCTAGATTTAGATTAATGTGGAATCATCGCTCAATTACTGAAATGTGACTGAACTAAGAAATGGCTGTAATTTCAGCACCGGAAACCCATTAAACAAGAAATTTCAGAAGCACTTAAATACTTTCTAATAGTTATATCACATGTTGATGCAAGCCAAAAACATTTCGTTGAAGTCAACATCCCTGATTTTTTTTTGTAGAGACTATTTCTGTAGATGGGTTTAGAGAACTGTGGGATAAAGAAACGGCCAGCAGGAATATGAAAATCAACATTTAAACTAAACCAAATTAAGAAATTTGTGACTTTAATAGCAATTTTTAAAATTCGAAATAATTAAAAACTGCTGTATTTTAATGAAAAAAGAGTTATAAAAAGAAGGTTAATATTTAAATTTAACAGTTTGTTATACCTGATGATTACTTTGTTTTATGAAAATTATGTAAAAAAAAAAATAATAATAAAAACAACATAAATATGTGTAACATTAGTTTATGGACATTTAAAAAAAAAAAAGTCAATATAAAAAAAATATGAAGGTTTTTTTTTATCAATTTGAGGCTTCGATTTCCGCTTTATGGCAGATAATCTTTTGGCCGCAGCCAATATCATTTTTTAGCTCCTTGCAAGCATTATAAAATTGGGAGCTTCATTGAACAATTTTGTTTTTCATTTCTCAATTCATTAATCACTACTACAAAGATTTGGGACTTTACTATAGATGCAATTGTCCAACTCGATCAATTCGAACTGACAATCAACAGAGTCCTTCGTTCCCGGAAGTTTGGAAAAGGTTAGTTTTCCAATTTAAAATTTCGGCCATAAGGGTGAATACAATGCATATGTAGGGCAGATGCGGTGGATCCCTACCAGATCAAACTAAAACCAAGACTTGGTTCAAAGTCTAAAGTAGAATGCAGGTTACTTAACTTCTGAGACTTAGGTGTGCCCAGAAGGGGGTTTCCTAGCGCAAGTTGGGCCATCAAAATTAATGGAGGCGTATTTTGAAGGGTTTTTGAATTTTTGAGGGGAGCAAATTTCGACAGGGTTAAGAATTTTCATACTAAGGGAAAAGGGGAAAAATATGGAACATACCGCAGCAAGTGTAATTTTATATGATCTACGATTTTTCTAATTCTACTATCGACCTTGGGGGGGAGGGAGGAGGATGGTCACCCCTGCTGAGGCATACTCATATAATAATACTTTTATCCTAAAATAATCATATTTTAGTTTCTTCCTCTTTTTATGATTGTTATGATATATGATTGTCGTTATTTATACTGTTATTTTAACTCTCAGAACTAGTTTCTGGAAAAAAGAAGTAGAAACTGTAAGATCAGATCCCTTTTCTGTTATGTTCCTGCAATCCTGGAGAAGAATTTTCTCAAATGGACAACAACTGTTACTGACCTGCTCCAGGGTCAAAGGATCCAACAATGTTTTCAGTGGATCATAAGTGGACACCCAACATAGATTTTCATAAGTTTCGATGGTAACACCACACTTAAAAACTTTATGGTATTTAGAACTACTAAACCGATTTCTATTAAGTATAAAATACTAAAATTCGAAGAATAGGATTTTATGAACCATTCTAGAGTGAGCAAGAGAATATCAAATCCAAACCCACCATCTGTTTATTGATTATAATTGTTTTCAACACGATGATTCAATCACTTGTCTGCTCTTCAATATTGGTTTGGAAAAAGCTATTAGAGAATCAAAGATCCAGACCAGCAGAACAATCTTTAATGATATCATACAAATACTAGGATATGGGAATGAATTCTATATAGTTAAGAGATCTAAAGCTCCACTAAAAAAAGCCTTTCTTGTTCCCAAGAATGCTGCCAAAAAGCTAGAATTTGCTGTAAACACATGTAAAAGCAAGTAAAGGATTGCTAGTCAAACTAGAGGTCCTAATAAAGATTTGGTCCAGGTGGGCCCTTACTCATTTGTGCGAGTTGATAA